CGTGTTGCGGTCCTCCGTCCTCCCCTGCAGTCTTGTATCTGACCTCCGTCCTCCCCTTCAGTCTTGTATCTGACCTCCGTCCTCCCCTTCAGTCTTGTATCTGACCTCCGTCCTTCCCCTCAGTCTTCTATCTGACCTCCGTCCTCCCCTTCCGTCTTCTATCTGACCTCCATCCTCCCCTTCCGTCTTCTATCTGACCTCCGTCCTCCCCTTCCGTCTTCTATCTGACCTCCATCCTTCCCTTCGGTCTTCTATCTGACCCCCGTCCTTCCCTTCAGTCCTCTATCTGACCTCTGTCCTTACCTTCAGTCTTATATCTGAACTCCGTCCTCCCCTTCAGTCTGGTATCTGACCTCCGTCCTCCCCTTTAGTCTGGTATCTGACCTCCGTCCTCCCCTTCAGTCTGGTATCTGACCTCCGTCCTCCCCTTCAGTCTGGTATCTGACCTCCGTCCTCCCCTTCAGTCTGGTATCTGACCTCCGTCCTCCCCTTCAGTCTGGTATCTGACCTCCGTCCTCCCCTTCAGTCTGGTATCTGACCTCCGTCCTCCCCTTCAGTCTGGTATCTGACCTCCGTCCTCCCCTTCAGTCTGGTATCTGACCTCCGTCCTCCCCTTCAGTCTTCTATCTGACCTCCGTCCTCCCCTTCAGTCTGGTATCTGACCTCCGTCCTCCCCTTTAGTCTGGTATCTGACCTCCGTCCTCCCCTTCAGTCTGGTATCTGACCTCCGTCCTCGCCTTCAGTCTGGTATCTGACCTCCGTCCTCGCCTTCAGTCTGGTATCTGACCTCCGTCCTTCCCTTCAGTCTTCTATCTGACCTCCACACTGGGAGCTTCTCACGATGTGCATTAGAAGCTGCAACACGTCAGACAGAGCCGGCCTCATTTCCTGGCTGGAGGACCTCCAGCCCCATCTCGTTCTTTCCCCCCTAGCCTGACTGTCCCTAGCCCCGCCCCTTTTTATTTATTTTATTTCAGTTATTTCTATCATGAAGGCTCAGCATCACCTGCGGGCGTTACCTATAGTGGTCTGCATGCAACATCCTGCCTAGGAACACCCGTTTCCCCAGATTGCCCCACCCCCCCAATCAAGGCATTTTAATATTTGCATGACTCCTCCCAAGAGCCGGCCCACTGCTTGCATCATGGCTCTTGGGAGGAGAATTATTGGTGAGAATAATCCTATACTTTTTGTTCCACAGAAGGGGTTAATGTTCTAACGGACGCCGTGGTCAAGTCTGTCCGCTATCAAGATGGGAAGCTTCACATCCAACTCAAGGATGGAAGACAGGTAAGTACTTGACCCGTCCTCAGGACACCATAGTGACGCATGGCTCGGGGGGATAGAAGAACAACGCACAGCAGGGGGACAACGCACAGCAGGGGGACACCCTCCTGCCTACTGACCATGCCTTCCCCGTGTGCTATAGGTGCAGACCGATCACATTGTCGCCACCGTTGGTTTGGAGCCGAACACGGAACTGGCGAAGTCTGCGGGCCTGGAGCTAGATGCAGACTTTGGAGGATATCGTGTGAACGCCGAGCTGCAGGCCCGGAACAATGTGTGGGTGGTGAGTTGGCATTTTGTGTGACGAGCTTCGCTCTGCCGTGTCGCACGTCACCTGATAACACGTGATAATGTGTGTTGGGGTAGGCGGGGGACGCCGCGTGCTTCTACGACATCAAGCTTGGAAGGAGACGAGTCGAACATCATGATCACGCCGTCGTGAGCGGAAGACTCGTCGGGGAGAATATGACCGGAGCGGCAAAACCGTACTGGCACCAGTCCATGTTATGCCCTCCCCTCCCTCGCTCTTTTGCCCTCCCCTCCCTCGCTCTTTTGCCCTCCCCTCCCTCGCTCTCTTGCCCTCCCTCGCTCATTCAAGGCAAAGTGATATTGCTTGTATAAAGCCCCCCTGACCACTCTATACTCCCCTCTCCAGCATTCCCCTGCTATTCCTTCCGAGGCCGGTGCTTCCAGGCATGGGGAAAATGTGACCTCCTCTGGCCCTAGAGGTCAGTCGCTGGGCCTTAGTGCTCCACCATGATGGAGAAGTCACCTCTCCCTCTGAGCTCTGACTCCAGCCAATCCCAGAGTATTTTGATGGCGGCTACAATGGCAGAAGAAGTGGAGAGGGAATTCCTGAAGAGTCAACTTATATGGTGGTCAGGGGGAGGTGAGCTTTAGGAAGGTGACAGGGTCTCTTTAACCACTATTCCCTACCTTTTAATAAGACTTTATTCATATACATTATGGTGGCTTCCGTCTATGCAATTAAAATACTTACATGCTGAAGTCCATCTTCTGACTTGATCCTCTTTTTTTTTTGCAGGAGTGACCTTGGTCCAGAGGTTGGCTATGAGGCCATTGGTATTGTTGACAGCACCCTACCAACAGTCGGAGTATTTGCCAAGGCCACAGAGAAAGACACCCCAAAGAGGGCATCTGAGGAAAGCGGTGAGTCCATTTAG